CATGCAATAACACCTTCTGTCAACAGAACTCTGTCGACAGAAGGCGTTATGCCTCGTAAAATGAGGTTTACCGGCGTCGACAAACCTGCTGAGTTCTGTCGACGTTATGTCGACAGAACTCAGCGGTAGTGTAGACGGTGGCATAGTTTTGTCGACAAAAGTCCACTTTTGTTGACAAAACTAGGTAGTCTAGACACACCCTAAGTCTCTCAAAATTCTTTTCAGTGCTTGGTTCTCAAAGGGTTTCATTCTCTAGACATTAGTCTGAGAATGCTGGCAAAGAATCTCAATGACTAAATCCTTTGACTGTTGTGGTTCAGCTGCAGATTCCAAAATTGCTGGAAAGGGTACACTCACATTGAAGTATTTGTCTATAGGTTTAATGTGCTGCATTTAAGTCCAGTTTATAAATATTTTAAAAGTAAAATTAATTTCTCCTTACTGTATCTGAAAAAAAAAAAAAAAGAGCTTTCCAATTCCAATTTGCAACCCGTGTGACAATGACAACTCTAAACAGGGTGGACAAAGAATGAGAGAGTTTGGATTAATTTCCCTGACTTACAAAGTTTTAGTTTTCAGTAGCTGTCTCACATACAGTCTGAAATTTTACTCGGCTAAAAACAATGCCATGGAGATAGCATGAAATGGAAATGTAGCATTGGGTATGACATCAGATTTGTGATTATCAGTCACTTATTTAACAACAAGAATAAGAATAAAAATAAGAAGCATTGTCCTAAAAATGCTTCAAATAAACTTACCATACCAGCCTCTAGGCCAAGTGGATTGAGATGTGTGTGTGGATTTCTGAGATATCCATCTTTATACGGTTCATCTGGAAAGCGATAAGCATTCACTCTTCTTAAATATGGTCTATCAGAGGGCAGATGGAACAGTTCATGCAATTCCTACATGCCAGTCAGAATCAAAATGAGGGGGATAATGAACAAGGGAATAATTCAAAATTCTTTAAATTATTCCAAATGATAATTAAGTTTTCATAACCAATATTTTTTAATATAGTAGTTTAGAAATTGTTACATATTAAAACCTCTAGACTAATCAATATTAAATGTGTTTGCTTAACACCCATATCCCAGTACTGCAAAGAACTCCAGGCAGGCAGACCCTAATGCTTATGCAGAGACTCACTGACGTGAATGGGGCTCAGCATACACTGGGAGCACATTTTCCTGGAGCTCTTTGCAGAGAGTCTCAATTACAAACAGAATGTCTGGAAAAAAAAAAAAAAAAAAAAAAAAAAAAGATTAAAAAGACAATATACATTAAATAGTACTAAGAATAAAGAAATATGAAACAGTTGGTGTATCGACATATTATTGCAAATAAAAGAAAACGAGCTCACATTTTGAGCAAATTCTGTTTTTTAATATAATTTCTTAAACATCATCCGGCAACATAGTAAAAACACAATTAAACAGAGAAAAATGGACATTATACAAGTACATTTACATTGAGAGCCTCACCATTTACATTTTCTTTAAAGTTCCTATATAACTCCATATAGGTTATCTTATATAAAAAACTTCTGTTTATGAAGAAAAGTCTCTGATGAGAACACTTTAAAATATGTTTCAATGAACCAAAATATATATTGTTAGTATTCTGTTTCAGTCAATTAGAAATCTTAACCTCTCAATATTTGGTCTACAACAGTCAACTGATAGCTTTTACCTTTCTGTAAGACTCTAGCTGATTATCTGAAATGCCTGTAGGATAAGAGATTGTTACAAGGTGCTTTTTTCCTGGTAGCATGAAGTGAAATTGTTCAGGTACCACTATAGATGTTCCCTTCATATATTTCAAAATGCATCTTTCTATATCAGTTAGTTGCTTATGGATTGCATTCACCAGTAGATTTTGTACACTTTGAGAAATGAGAAAAACATTTAAGAATTAGAACACCAGCAAAGCTATACAAATCCCTCTCTCATATCCATCTCTACAACCAGTTTAATGCAACTACTGCTCTTCCCCCTCCTTCAACCCATACTAACAGACACGGGCAGAGCCTTGTCAGATGTTTATTCCACCTCATGTACAAAGATATTCCCACTTCATATGGGCAAAGATGCTACATTCCAATGACTCAGCCACAGAAGGTACTGCATCATCTGGCCTTAATTCAGTAAATCATCCAAGCTGAACTGGAAGTACAGGTTGAACCTCTCTAGTCTGGCAGCCTTGGGACCTGCCCCATGCCAAAGCAGAGAACTTGCTGGACCATGGGAGGTCAATATTGTCTAGCAGTATTATCAACACCTCCACTACTTACTGGGTTCTTAGAAGAGGTTTAAGAATAAATCAAAGCTAAATAATAGTGCAGAACACCAAGAGCCAGGACTGCTGTCTATAAACAAATTTTATGGGACAGTGGGAAACTTGGCCATACCCCTAATAAGTGGGCATCTGTTTAACTAAAATCATGCCAGACCATGGATGTTGCCGGACCAGAGAGTGCTAGATTAGAGAGGTTGAATCTGTTCAATGTTAAGTGAAGAATTATCACATAATAGTATCCAATTTCTATAGTGAAGTGGTAATGGTATACAGGCAGTCCCCGACTTACGCAGATCCGACTTATGTTGGATCCGCACTTACGAACAGGGCTTTTCTCGCCCCAGAGCTCAGGGGCGGCGTGTCGCCACCCGTGTCCTCCAGGGCGAGAAAAGCTTCTCCCAGTCCCCCGGT